TATCACCTAACCTCCATGAGCCCCTACACCGACTGGCAGATCTCAGTGATGTTTTTGGTCTCCTGGAATTAGTGTCAGTTCAGAGCCGGTGAGCCCCCCAAAGTCTGATTATCTCCTTTCCCCTCAGCATCGCTACCCTAGTAAAAGGCCATAAGTCCCTTGGGAAAGGCTGAGTGAAAGATTAAGGAAAAAAAAAAAAAGAAAGAAAGAAAGATTAAGGTATTATAGTGTCAGTGGTCCTGGGGTTCTTCCTCAAGGGACCCAGTCTCCCCTTTATTTGAGGAGTTCTGGGTCTGCAAACTGGCTCGAGTCTGGGAATTCACTGATGGGCCATGACTGTCTCCTGAGACTCATGACTTTTTATGATTCAAGTTAAACTTTCATTCACTTGACCTAGAATTCTGCTAATACAGATCAAGTAAGACTTCAGCAAACTTCCCATCTATTTCACTTCTGGCAACAACACCATGATCAACTAGCCAAAGCCATAGGTCCACCCCTGGCAGGACTGGTGTCCTTTAGGGTAACCAAACCTGCCTTGCCTTAAGCAGACAAGCCCAGCCTCTTGGAATTTACAATCCGGAGGAGGAAAGAAATAAACACATGAAAAGCAAGTATTTGCAGGGAGGGCTGGTCTTAGAAAGGGCTTCTCTGAGGCCCTGAGCGCTAAGGGCTCTGGGAGAAGAACCTCTGAAGCAGAAAAGATGGCGAGAGCAACATTCCTGGGAAATGCATGGAAAGTTGATGGGTCTGAGTGCCAGAGGCCTGCAACAGAAGAATCCCAACATTCTGAAGCCTTATTTCCTTGGTCATTTAGTTTTACTCAATTTAAAACCCAGATCAGATGGGGATAGAGGGAGCTCTTAACTAAGTAGAAAAAAATGTATCTCTGGAGAAAGCAGAGCCTTGGCTGAGACGGCCCAGAGATTCAGAGACAGGGTGTCCAAATGCAACTCTAGAGCTGCTGAGAAAAGCTCTCTCTCATGGAGGTGGTGCCTCACATGTTGTGTATAGGTGACATGGCCCATAAACTCAGCTGAGGAAGAAAGATAACTTTCTTCATTTTCCTTAACAACTTCAGTTCTCAGGTCCCCTCAGCGCCTGGATCCCACAAAGCTCTGACTGTTTTGCCACCTGGGCTCCCCCCTCAGCTGCACTCCCAGCCTTGGGAATCTCCCTCTCTTCTCACAAAAGAAGAATCAGGCTAACAGACACATGAAAAGATGCTCAACATCACTCGGCATCAGGGAAATACAAATCAAAACTACAATGAGATACCATCTCACACCAATCAGCATGGCTAAAATTAACAACACAGGAAATGACAGATGTTGGCGGGGATGCAGAGAAAGGGGAACCCTCCTACACTGTTGGGAACGCAAGCTGGTGCAACCACTCTGGAAAACAGTATGGAGCTTCCTCAAAAGGTTAAAAATAGAGCTACCCTATGACCCAGCAATTGCACTACTGGGTATTTACCCCAAAGATACAAATGTAGTGATCTGAGGGGGCACCTGCACCCCAATGTTTATAGCAGCAATGTCCACAATAGCCAAACTATGGAAAGAGCCCAGATGTCCACCAACAGATGAATGGATAAAGATGTGGTAATACACACACACACACACACACACACACACACACACACACACTGGAATATTATGCAGCCATCAAAAAGAATGAAATCTTGACATTTGCAACAACATAGATGGAGCTAGAGTGTATTATGCTAAGTGTAATAAGCCAGTCAGAGAAAGGCAAATACCATATGATTTCACTCATATGTGGAATTGAAGAAACAAAACAGATGAACATAGGGGAAGGGGAAAACAAAGAGAGGGAAGCAAACCAAAGAGACTCTACTACAGAGAACAAACTGAGGGTTGCTGGAAGGGAGGTGGGCAGGGGGATGGGGTAACTGGGTGATGGGCATTCAGGAGGGCACTTGTGATGAGCACTGGGTATTATATGTAAGTGATGAATCCCTAAATTCTACCCCTGAAACCAATATTACAGTATATATTAACTAACTAGAATTTAAATAAAAACTTGAAATGAAAATAAATAAATAAAAATAAAAACAAAACAAAAAAACAGGAGAAGACTCAGGCTGGAAAACTAGGATGACTCTCCCAGGGTCCCCAGTAAAGGGCAGGGGGAGGGTGGACTTGGATTTCTGGACTCCTAGTCCTGTGCCAACTTGGCAAAGGCACAATGCATTAACCTCTGGTATCATAATTTATGGAGCCTAGCTGAGTTAGCAATGCACAGTCTGTGCTTTGCCAGGTAGATTATGTTATTTAGAAGTCAGCAGCCCTGAGCTGCTAGCTGAAGAATGATTTGTCTCTGACGGGGAGGACGATGATATCATGAATATACCCAGGCAGTCTCTGCTTCTGTCCTGCCCTTGAATTAACTTCTAGACAGTCCATTAGTTTGGAGTATTCCGCAACCACCATAATGGCCCTTTTCTCCGCAGTCAATTGGGTTGACCACATCACAATCCAGAATTGGCAATTAAAACTGCCATCATAATTTGACCACAGTCAGGTACCTCTGAGTCTATGGATATCACTGAAATTTCCTTGATAAGACTAAACGGAAAGGACTGGGAAGTTCGGAACTTAGGCTGTTAGCCTTATCCTGACAGGCCAGTGGTGTTACATAGGTGAGAAAAAGTAAACAGAAGCCTTAGCCTTTCCTGGTGGCAAGAATGTCTTATCTTATGGACGCTGTGAAGGTCCTTTAACAAAGAGCCCCAAATGAAACATGTTCTTCTTCTACCCCAATACATTGCTGCAGCCCCTTGAATCCATGATCCAAATTACCTCCCCAGGTCATCTGTGTATTTAGCCAATTTCACACAGACCTCTGAGCACCAAGGGAAAGCCTCCTTTCTCTATCATTCATTACAAAGTGAATTATTGATTTTTATCATTTTTTTCCCAAGGAAAAAATATTTTTACACTTTCCCAGACTTTCTTTTTTTTTTTTTTTAAAGATTTTATTCATTTGACAGAGAGAGACACAGAGTGAGAGAGGGAACACAAGCAGGGAGAGTGGGAGAGGGAGAAGCAGGCTTCCCGCTGAGCAGGGAGCCCAATGCGGGGCTTGATCCCAGGACCCTGGGATCACGACCTGAGCCGAAGTCAGATGCTTAACTACTGAGCCACCCAGGCGCCCCTTTCCCAGACTTTCCAACCTTCTTGGTTTTCTGGAATGGCCTACCGGAATGTCTTCACTCTAAGGAAAGCTCCTGATTTGTGCGACTTAGTCACATATTTGCAAAGTGCCCACTGTGTGCAGAATGTAGCATATGAAGGGCTATAAAAAGATGAAAAAGCACATCCGAAAAATCAGTGAATAATCCACCAGTCTCAATATGTACATACATCTTGTGGCATAAAATGATACAAAAAATTTTTTTAAATATTTTGAATGCTCATAAAAGTGATCCATTAGTTTGCATCTGGAAATCTTTGTACCCCTGAAGTAACCAGATCACAGTCTTTCTCTATTATGCCTTATATTCCTTTTCAGCTTAGTTCTGATTTTAAAGTATTATTCTAGGTAATTAAGGAAGACAAGTTGCCGTTCTCTGACCTTCTCTTTTGGCAAAACTGTGTTTTGCTGTGTGGGTACCACTCTCAACAACCACAACTGATATGCCTCTCAAGTTCATAACCCGGGACGGTCTCCTTTCCTTTCTCTATTTATTTACTTTTATTTGATATTATTCCTATAGATTCATCTTATGATAGATACCTCAGAAAGAACATCTCTAATGAAAATAAAGTTCTCAAACAGAAATTTTGTATTTTTACTAATTTTTTCCTTATCAGAGCAGAGTATCTTGGACTCTCCTAATTAAGATATGGGGTTTTCCTCAGCTGTGGATTCACTCCGTAGAGTTAACAGGTGCTTCAAGCTCTTTAAAGACAATGACTACACCATTGGCTACACAGCAGTCCCCCATTTTCTGCAGTTTCGCTTTCCCAGGTCTCAGTTACCTGTGGTTTCAATTCCCTGCAGTCAACCACAGTCCAGAAACAACTAATCCTCCTTCTGATTCATCATTAGAAGGTCAGTTACAGCCTAACACTATGTCACGATGCCTACGTCATTCACATCATGTCATCTCATCACATAGGCATCTTATTGTCTTACATCACAAGAACAGGCATGAGTAGAGTACAATAAGATATTTTGAAAGAGATCACAGTCACATAACTTTCATTACAGTATATTTTTATCATTGTTCTATTTTATTATGAGTTGCTGTTGTTGATCTCTTACTGTGCCTAATTTATAAATTAAACTTTGTCATAGGTATGTATATAGAGGAAAAAGCATAGTTTATATAGGGTTCGGTACTATCTGCAGTTTCAGGCATCAACCGGGGATTTTGAAATGTATCCCCCATGGATGGGGCAGGGGGAGTATGATACTACTCCATTGTACTGGGCCAACGTCACAACTTCTGTTAATTCAACAAAAATCAGGAACTTAACAAATGGAACATATTACATCTCAAGAAGTAGGCTTCCTACCAAGTTAAATATGCTGTTAACATAGATCAATAAAATAACATTTGCTTGAGACACATTCATCCTGGATTTAAGAGCAAGTCTGAATAGTTTGAACCTTCACTAGCTCATAATAGGGAGGACCAGGGCTATTTCTTGCTTAAACTCAATTTTCAGAAGAAAAATACATTTATGAATGCATTCTGCCAGAGAAACAAGATTCCATTTAAACTAAAATGCAGTTCCTGAAGTAAAATACTACCAGAATCAGCCACAAGAACATAGAAGTGTGTTCTCTCTTCTGGACTTACATTTCTAAGAACTAGCATCATGGTTCCTAAGGCAGATGTGAAGATAGGGAAAGAAGTGTGGTAAGGGATAATTTCTCAGTAATGAGGTCCTCTAGAGTGGAGAACATGTATAATTATGAAGAATAAACACATTACTATGAAGTATGAAGGAAAAAAACCTTACCCGAATCCAGAAAGTAAGCGACAGAAGAGAAAGAATTCATAACCCTGGACAAATGAAGAAAGGAAGGCGAAGAATCCGTTGATAGACATGCAAATCAGAAGAGACTGCTTTCTTCCCACTTTGTCCGCCAGTCCTCCCCAGAAGAAAGCCCCTGCCATCATGCCAAGGTATACTACGCTGCCTGCAACACACAGAAAACAGAGATTGCAGTAATTCACACACTAGATCAAGTGAACAAGAGACAAAACACATTTTAGCATTTTGTATGAGAAAAAATTCCTTTAAAAAAATACATCCTTCAGGATATACAAATCACCTTTCAAGTTGGAAAGTAAGCTCTGTTGGTTACCTTTAGCTGTCATGACCAATGACAAAGGCAAAAGACAAAACGGTGACGTTCTTGCTCGGCTCATGAGAATGGGTACATAGGGGGAAGGCCCAAGGAGTCTCCACACAGGACAATCCTGGACTTTGACTCACAGGCATGTTGCCTTTGGTCCAAACGCCCAGCTTAGCACATGACAAGGCCAAGATGGGAGACTGAGTCAAAGTCTTCCTAGTCAAAATGAATCCCCCAGTCTGCTTCAGATCTTTGCCTGCAGCAGATGATTGGGCCAAGGCCAGACTCTTAGGGACTCTCTAAAGGATTCCATGGGTTCTTTCTCCCTAGTCTCTCCTAAAAGCCCTGGACCTTCCTTGGGAAGGAAAGGGAAGCTAGGGAAGGTAGGTTTAGAGACCACAAGAGTTAACCTTAAAAGAGTCTCAAACTCTGCTTATAAGAGAAAACTTTCTCTTGGAGTCAGAAGTGTAAGGAGCCTAAGGAGAAGAAAAATGGTGTTGCAGTTTGGGAACTGTTAAACTTATCATGGTTGGCTTTACTTCCATAGTGGAAACAAATGGAAAATCAAGAGTTAGATCGATGTTCCTCTTGGTGTCACTGTGAGCACACATGTGATTTTTCTTTTCTTTTTTTTTTTTTAAGTAGGCTCCATGCCCAGTGTGGAACCCAATGGGGGGCTTGAACTCACAACCCTGAGATCATGACCTAAGCTGAGATCAAGAGTCGGACCCTTAATTAAACCACCGAGATGCCCTGTGAATTTTCTTCTTTTTTTTTTAATTAACATATAATGTATTATTTGTTTCAGGGGTACAGGTCTGTGATTCATCAGTCTTACATAATTCACAGCACTCACCATACCACATACCCTCCCCAATGTCCATCACCCAGCCACCCCATCCCTCCCAGCCCCTCCACTCCAGCAACCCTCAGTTTGTTTCCTGAGATTAAGAGTCTCTTATGGTTTGTCTAATTCACTTGCTTCTTCTAAAAAAAAAAATAGGCCCCAGAAGCCCTGTCCGGAATCTTACTTAAGATGAAATAATATTAGGTATGGCAAAAGTTACTTCAGAGATGTTTGTAAAACGGTGTGTAATGTCTAGGGGAAATGACATAATTAATAAATGAAAGTTTGTTATATCTGGGTGTGGTATTTACAAAGCCACTACATCTCTCATCCATTTCTGCTCCCCCCCGCCTCTCCCGTCACCAAATCACCACTTGAATAGTTCCTTTTCAAAGGCACATTCAAGATACCCAGCAGCATCTAAGTAACAAGTTAGAAAAACACATTGATTGATTGCTTTAGATTAGTTTGGGAAATATCCTATTTAAACACTCACCCTGAATTCATTTGCTTAATACACAGTTAATGGATCAATACAAGACCCAGAAGAACACCTGGAAAAGTCTGATGACCTTGACATCAATGTGGACGCTGCTCTGCATATAGCTGAGTATAGGCAGGTATAGGAATGGCAAATGTTGGAGTCCTTGTACAATAAGACAAAACAGAAGCCATTTTTATTCAGACTGGGGTACTGCAAAGGGGTGAGTGGCCATCCTTTGCCTTGATGGGGAATGACATATTTTTCTCTTTATTATGGGGCTAACCATAAACAGAGCATCCTTCTCAAAAAGAAAAAAAAAAGATACTCATATCATGAAGCCCAGTGCCTGGTTACAAGACAATTTAAATAATGGATCAGCACCTGCGAAGGAATTCCCAAAGGAGACAGATTCACCCAGGGAAATGCATATGCAGCAAATCTCTTATTTATAGCACAGGGGGCTCAGGTTGGCTACTCAGGCCTCTCAGAAGAATAATCAATAGCTAAGCTTTTCATAATAATATCCGTGACTTTAAAAATGCCTACAAACCAGAGGGTGAGCTCCTTTAGATCAGGAGGGGCCCATGGCTGTTGCAGTCCAAAGATGTAGGAGTCTTTCTTGTAGCTCCAGCCCCAAGGACAAAAACCCGTCCCTAGCAATTGCTGAACCCTTACCAGCTCTAAGTGTTTGTACGAATTAATGTATTTGCTCCTTACAACAACCCCCTGAGGTTAATACTATGGAACCCAGTTCACTGGCATAGAGAAGCGAATGATCTGACCACAGAAAAGTGAGTAGAGACTACATCTCAACCCATCAGCAATTCTTCGTGCAATATGGTTACAGTTCCTTTAACAATCCTGGCTGCCCTCCTAGGAAAACATCCCAGTTTGTCCCAGCCCCTGTGTGGCGGTATCATCCAGAACTGAAAATACAATTTGAAAGGTCTCTGAGGTGTCACAGAATCAGAGTTAAGTCCAGGGGAGCAGAATATGATCGATGGGAGCTACGGGAAAATGCTGCTTCATTCTACCCAAGCCTATGACAAGGGGTGCACCATCTGTTCTCAAACATTCTAAATGGGCTCATTCCCAACCACTGGTGGGAGGTAAGGGGATCAATGTGGAAAACAGCTCAGTGGTGCCAAGGAAAAATGAAAATCCAGTATCTTTCTAAAAAGGAAATGCTATGGAGGCACCTGGGTGGCTCAGTTGGTTAAGCTTCTGACTCATTTTCGGCTCAGGTCATGCTCTCAGGGTTGTGAGATGGAGTCCCACAACCAGCCCCGAGCTGGGCGTGGAGCCTGCTTAAGATTCTCTCTCTTCCTCTCCCTCACAAAAAATAAAAAGGACATGCTATGTTCCAAAGGAGGGCACCTCCCTTGCTTTTCTGGTTGTAGGAGGCATGATGCTCCTGCTGGACTGGGCTCTATATCCTATCATTCTTCTCATTCTGGGCAGTCACCTGCAGCTTCATCTTCACTAAGCCAGACCACAGATTTATGAAGTGATGATTCCAGCACTTTAAGGACTCATAACTCGTTGCTAGATTTTCCCAACTGGCAGTAGCGTGAGAACACAGCCCCACCCTGGGAGCTCCTTAAAGCTCAGACATAGGAAAGGCTGAGTGAGCTGAGCTTGCCCTTGACTTCTGTGATGGAGATGGTTCAGTGACTTGACAAAGGGCAGAGCACCCACATTTATCATTAGCACTTTGTACTTAAGCCACCCCAAAATAATACTCATTAGAGATTTTAATATATAAAAGTAAAATAAAAATGGCCCATCCTTCAATTCCTCCAGATATCCTTAATACACACCCACACATATATATGTATATATATATGTGTGTATATATATATATATATGTATATTTAAAAACCCAAATATGCCTACATGGCCAAAAATTCAAAGCACATGGAAATATATAACATGAAACTAAAATTCTCCTTCTCCCCTGCCCTTGACCCTCTTCCCAAAGCTAACTATTATCAATTTTTCTAATTCTTCCAGAAAGTTTATACCTATAACTATATAGAAAAATGGATAACCTTTAGGAATTGCCTGTTAAATATAGTTTTTTGTTCCTGTGTAATATTTATCTTTTCTCCTGTTGCGTTTAGGATTTCTAAACTTAGCAAACCAGAAATAAATCTCTGTCGGAATTTTCAAAATTACTTCAAGATACATTTCGTATATCCCACAAAAGCATGCACTATCAGCTACTAGGGGAAAACCAGTTGCTTCTCCATCTTGTATTTTTTCTATGCCTAAAATAAATACACCTCAATCTCCTTAAAAGAGAGAATGTTAAATTCAATTGTAAAGAATTTACTGGGCACCCACTTGGCCTAACTTCTTCTGAAGTGCTAGAACTGTGAGGATGGGTAAGTCATGATCCCTGAGCTCACCTAAGGAGAACCTGAGCAAGCCTTTATCTGGCGCCCTACTCCAAGCCAAGAGCAAAGGGAGACAGCTGCACACCCACTATTTCACACCACCCTCCCAATATCCCATCTGATCATGGCCACTACAGAGTGGGGCAGCCGGGTCAAAACCTTCCACGGCCTCCTGGGGACAAATGACCAGGGCAGAGCAGTGCTCAGTGCACACTCAGGGACCTGGGTTCCGAGTCCCTGAACTCTTTCTATTCCATCCAAATGGCTCAGGAGTGCATGACTCAGTGAGGGAGACCTCAGGCACACAACAGAAGGAGTCCAGCCGTGAGGTGTGCACTCCAGTAACTGGGAGCAGGGCCACAAAAGGTGGCTGGTAATTCTGACCGTGGGAAGGCTCCACTGAGAAGGGAGTACCTTAGAGGCTTCTGAAGGCTAAGAAATATTTCAAGACGGTATTAAATTCCTCCATAAGTGATAGATTTAGCGAAACAAAATGTAGTATCAAGCTGTATCCACTTCTATTCTGGTTAAGAAGAGGTTTCAGATCTAAGGATAACAATCTTTTGAGCCTACATTGCATATTATTGGTAATTAGACTGTCCCACCGGGTGTGCCAGGGACAGGAGTCAGCCTCCCTTCTAGCTTATTTGAGAAACACAGCACAATGAGAACATTCGTTTGTTGATTGTGTGACCTAGTTAAAGCCAGACCTTTGAATGTTAGCAAAGGTACAGAGTGAATAAAACTGGAAACACTCTGGGATTGTCAGAATACAAACTGTGTTTCCTGGCTTGTTTGTTTCCACGTTTCCGTTTTGTTTTTGCCGTGTGCTGATGGGGATTCCCTGAAAACTCAGAGCAGGGATATATGCTCTTGACATAGACCACCCTCCTGCCCTCCTCTCCTCATGATGCTGCTGATGATCAGAATTCAAAGGTATGTTAATCGAAAGTCCCTTATTTTAAGGACAGAGAAACTGATGCTATGAGAAGCCAGTACTTGAAATCAGGTCTTCTAGATCATTGCACCTCAGAGTATGACCTCTGGCCCAAAAGCACAGGCACCCTGGGGGAACCTGCTAGAAATTCAGACTCTAAGGCTCCACTCCACA